ATCCTGGGTGACCATCCAGGGTGACCAAAATAGTAATGAGCAGTAATATTTTGATAGGAATCTTTTCCCCTAAGAAGTAGGTTTCAACAATGGGCTTAATATAGTCAGTAAGCCATGTTAAAAATAGATGTGCTTTGTTGCTCCATTTATAGAACACAGGCAGAGTAGATTCAGCATCATTCTAAAGGACCCTAAGATTTTCAGAATGATAAATGAGCATTGGCTTCAGCTTAAAGTCAGCAGCTACATTAGCTCCTTACAAGAGAGTTAGCCTGTCCTTTGAAGTTTTGAAGTCAGGAATTGACTTCTCCTCTTCAGCTATGAAAGTCCTAGATGGCATCTTCTTCCAAAAGAAGACTGTTTTATCTACACTGAAAATTTGTTGTGTAGTATAGCCGCCTTCATTAATGATTTCAGCTAGATCTTTGGGACAACTTGCTGCAGCTTCTACATCAGCACTTGCTGCTTCACCTTGCACTTTATGTTATGGAGACAGCAGCTTTCCTTCAATCTCATGAACCAACCTCTGCCAACTTCAAACTTTTCTTCTGCAACTTCCTCACCTTTGTCAGCCTTCAGTGAATTGAAGAGTTAGGGCCTTGCTTTGGATTAGGGAAGTTCTGACTGGTTTGATTTTTCATCCAGACCTCTAAACCTTTCTCCTTATCTATGATAAAGATGTTTCACTTTCTTATTGTTCATGTACTCACTAGAGTAGCACACTTAATTTCCTTCAAGAACTTTTCCTTTGCATCCACAATCTGACTGTTTGGCACAAGAGACCTAGCTTTTGACCTCTCTCAGTTTTTGACATGCCTTCGTCACTAAGCTTAATCATTTCCAGCTTCTGATTTAATGTGAGGAACACGTAACTCTTCCTTTCACTTGAACACTTAGAGGCCACTGTAGGGTTATTAATTGGCTTAACTTCAATACTGTTGTGTCTCAGGAAATAGAGAGGCCTAAGGAGAGGGACAAAGATGTGAGAACAGCCAGTTGGTGGAGCTGTCAGAACACATACATTTATTAAGTTAGCTGTCTTAATGGGAGAGGTTCATGGTACCCCAAAACAATTACAATACTAATGTCAAAGATCACTGATCACAGACCACCATAACAAATATAACAATAATGAAAAAGTTTAAAATACTGCTAGAATTACCAAAAATGCGACACAGAGACACAAAGTGAGCAAATGCTGTTGGAAAAATGGCACTGATAGATTTGTTCAATACAAGGTTACCACAAACCTTCAATCTGTTAAAAACGCAATTAAAATGTTCAGTAAAACAAGGTAAGCCTATAATGTGTTTCAAACAACTGCATTCATTGTTATTTACCATCTTCTACTCCCCTTTCTTACTGTAGACAGTTCAGAATAATACACTACAGACCAGTATGGTATATTTAGTGCTACTAGATTTTCATAGAGTTTTCTGAAAATCTAACTACAATTTCACTTACAGCATTATTTCTATAACAAAAAGACAGTGAAAATTTCAGACAACTAACTAAAAATTATATGTATCCATGTGCAAGAAACTGTGCTAAACTTTTTTAATGTAAACCTCATTTAACCTATACAACAACCATATTAGGTGGGTATTACTGTTATTCCTATTTTATAGATACAGAAAATAAACTTTAGAGACATTAAGTCATTTGTCAAAATCCAGCTAGCAAATGGTTGAGGGAGGATTTGTACTCAGGTCTATCTAACTTTGAAGTCCATGCTCTTAACCATTATCTTTAATATCAGATCATCGTGTTAAACAATGGCTCTCAACAAGAATGTACCACCTTTCCGAGGGGCTTGGTGATAGTGGAGGTAGGAGAACAAGAACTGTCCTGCCCAGATGCCAACTGTATCAAGCCCTGTTGAAAAATATTGATTTAGAAGTATTCTCCCTAATCTGCATACTTTCGGATATAAAAATTAGGATTATTTTAACTACTTTAAGAAGCTTCTTTCTTTAAAAAATTTTAAATTATTTACATGTTTCATTAATTCACACTGCTTATCTCATCAACTTCGCAGAAAAAAATGGTATTTTGTCTTACTTAAAAAGCTGAATTATACCAATTCTCTAAATACTGTCACAATTCTCTAAAAATTATAAAATAAAATGGGTGGTGTCTAAGTGATTGAAGACTAGGCTGAAACTATGAGTGACAATATATGTACTCTTTAAAAAGTCTCTATATATAAGGCTACATGAGGTCCTTTTTAAAAATAAGGCGCAGGAAAAGGCAGAGGGAGACATTACAAAGTTGTACAAGGAACTTTTGGGGATGATGGACATGTTCACTCTCATGATTGCAGTGAAGGTTCAAGGTCCATATATAATGTCAAAACTTACTCAATTATACATTTTAAATATGTGCAGTTTATTATTTGTCAATTATCTATCAATAAAACTATTCTTACTATAAAAATAAATTTCTAGAGCCTAAAAAGTAAAACAACAGTCTAAGTATTGTCTCCAAACAGTCCCACAAAAAGACTGAGATGTAATACAGATGGAAGGTTTAAAGGAAACAACCCAGTGACTGATTCACAATTTCCTTCGTAAATATGGTACAAGACTACAGAAATTAAGTAGCAAGAATACTAACATTTCAAAATACAGAAGAGAGGGGATTTCCTTGCCTGGAGCCCCTTTTCCTAATTCAGATCAACAGCATGCACTGAGGCAGGACTGGGTGAGAAACCAGTCACACCATGCAGGCAACCAATCCCAGAATTCATCCACTGGCCACACAAAACCCACATATTATGCATCACTGGCATGTTGGGTTTGGTCCTCACTATGTTTGAAAAACATCTTTTTAAATTAGTTGCCAACATTTAAAAATTCAGAGATTTCTCCCCTCAAATCTTTCTTACTTTTCTTGTAAGATCAGTAACCCTGGGCCCATGTTTCCAACCTGGTCTCAGGCCAAGCACTCTGGTCAGCCACAGGCCCCAAGACTCAGTGTCCATATCATTTTGCTCCTGGCAGTTTGACCCATTTACATTGCCATACCAGGTCTACACAGAGTTTTGAGTTTGCAGTCCTTGCCCTGAGGCTATAGAGATTTTCTCTGAAGAATGTTTTGTTTTATGTTGATACTATCTACAGGCTCACCCTTACATTAAAGAGAAAAGTCCTTAATTAGAGGTGCAATTCTCACTCCAAAGGGTAGGGAACTTTTCTAACTCAGCAGGAAGTGTCAGCAAACAAGAAACTAGACTTAAGCCATACCCATCCCAGAAGTAGAAGCTGGGCCAAGAATAAAAACAAATCCTGGAAACTGGTTCTTAGGGCACTAGTTTCAACAAATTCACTGAAGAAATTTCTGCCAGATATAATTTCCCTCCTGGAAATCTTCCCCACGGCACCCCAACACACACACACACACACACGCACGCACGCACGCACGCACAAGCACACACTTCCCACTCCATCCCTAATCTTCCCCTCCCCCATTCTACTAGGTCACTGAAATATTAACAGGAATCTCTATTATCCTGCCTCCAGCTTAAGATAAAAGAAAAATTCTTTTTTTTTTCCCTTTAACCTGGGGAAAAGGGAAAGTTCCCATGGAATAATCACACAAATTATTACAGGACAAAAGGAGTCAGAAACCTATACATATCCAATGAATAAACAAGCAGCATTTTAATCATTATATATCAGAAGCATTAACATTAAAGTCAGAAAGAACAAAGAGAGCTGTTATTACTGTTAAGATTTTCCTACTCAATCCGTTAAATAATACAGAGAAATATTACCAAGAAACCAACAAAAACCTCCTCATTTGCAGATAATCTCACTCTACCTAGGAGACACAAGAGAAATCACTGAAAAACTATGAAAACTAAAAGGAGAATCCATAAGATGATTGAATGGTCACTAAATTAAGTCAAAAATTAGCAGTTCTTTTATATGTCAATAATAATCATAGAAGAAATAAAATGAATAAAAATTCAAACATAATAGCAAACAAACATAAAATACTCAGGAACAAAATTAATAAAAGGTACTAGTAAGGTCATGTTATCCTGGAGCAAAAGACACTTCAAGGGTTTATGACTCTCTCATCACTAACTTAGAATGGAGAAGAATCCATCACTAGAAATTGACTCTACACCTTTGAACCGTCATATGAGTCCCCTTGTCAAAGCTTAGCTGGCATGTGACTCAAGAGGAAATCATGGCTTCTCTCCCCAGTGACAATCTAGACCTGATCAAGACCTGCATTTCCCTGGCCTCTAGTTCCCTGGCCAATCATAGGAATCAGCTCAAAACTGTTCACATTTCTCAGACCTCATATAGAAAACAGAGCTAATCAGCATAGATTCAGGACTCATTATTTCAGGAATCAGATAAGATGCTAAGCACAGAAAACTTACTTATTCTCTAAGAAAGGGACTTCAAGTGACTCTTAAAGAGCTTTTGGCAGAGAACCTCACTAAATGTATGTGTGGAAATAAATGAGTAGAAAGACCTTTTACATTATTATTACTGAATAATAATTTAATTATTGAATAGAACCAAAAGAAAGAATGTTTTAGAATGTGTTTATATTATTAAGAAGTCCCCAATTAATACAGTCCTCAATATTTCAGAATTTGTGATTGATTGACTATGGTTTGGTTTCAGGATTATCTTTCCACTATCTGAACAATAGTAGTTTCCTAAGAAGATTAATAGTGTAAACAAATGGCTTGAAGCACCATAGAAGCATCTGTTTACATTCAAATAATTAATATGCTAAGCACTCTTATCTATTAAATTAAAGCAGGTCACCTAAGGACTTTTCTAGATAATACTTCATTAGCCTAATTATAACGAGTATATATAAGTTGAAGTAATAAAATGGACATCTGTTTTAAAACATTCTTCAATTTAAGCTTTTTACTAAATCAAACTAGCTTTCATATATTACTTTCAATTACTGAGGTTTTACATGGGAAAAAAAAAGCCCTCCATTGAAGTAGGAAATAAAATTCTTACCTTTGAAGTTCTCCATTCCCAACCATCTCCTATCTGCTGTGAATGTTTAATGAATTCTGCACAATCATGCTGGAATGTTTTTTCTCCAAAGAACTCATCTTCTTCCATACTAAATGATAACTGAAATATAAAAACTAAGTATTAGCATCAGCTGTGGAATGAATACTGAAAGGCATTCTGCTAATTCACTTATTTCTTTAAACAAACCAAAATTTGGGATGTAGACTGGAAAATAACCTCAGAGCCATTCCCCAAAAAAGTGTTTTGTTTCTATCTTTCTCACCCTATCCCCATTTTTTAATCAGGAAGAAAATGAATCAACTCCAAACTTAGATTTGTAACAAATACATATCTATGGTTCAAAAAGTTTAGTTTGTCCATAAATTCAGTTTCAATAATTATTAATTAGTATTATATTACTTCTTCCAAGCTAATACTTCCAAACAACCTCCTCAGAACTTCCTTCTCTATCTCCTACCTTAGCTCTCACATAGATAGCATGACAGTGACTAGTAGAATTGGGCTGTTCTTCACATTTTATTAGAATTCAACTCACTAACAAATGATGTTCTAAAGCCTGAAAGTATTTGTTTTGCAAGGTGTAAGGTTATGATCACCTAATTAAGTACCTACTTTATTGAGTTTACAAATGTGACAAATCGAAGATTACTCATATACCTGTTATATAAATCTGTCCAAAACATAAAACATTATTTATAAAAAGAGAATTTTAGAGCAGCTGGAAGGAAACTCACAGATTATGTATTGATGAGAAAAGTTGGTCCAAGTGAATTCCCACATTCTCCTCATTAGTGATAAGCATCATCAGGACACTTAGCACTTGTTAACTGTTTTACTATGTCAAGTACTTAATGCTAGACACTTCCCCTTCCCATTTAATCCTCACAAAACTCAAAGGTTGTTGTTTTTCTCATTCCTCAAATGAAAAAGAGAAAATAATCTGCTGAAGAATGAAAGTGAGGAAAATTCAAACCCCAGTTTGGCTCCAGGACCAATGATCTGTCCATGCAAGCTGATTCTCAGTCCAGTGTTCTTTCTGATTATTCAAATTTAGTATGACCTATATAAGAATTTGTTCATTCATCCAACAATTACATACTAAATATCTACTAGTAGGCACTGTACATAGGTAAAGGTTAGCTATAGAAGAAATGAAAAAAGATATAGCCCTTGCCAGGAAAGAGCTGTAAGAACTCATCTTGCAATGAAAGGAAATAAGCAATAATAATAATTACAATAGAAACTCTCTTAATCAACCTCCATTCAACTTGCCAGATTAATCGACACAGTGTCCATTCTCTCTGTAAAAAGTAATGTCTACAGCATTCTGATTATGAAACACCTCTGCTCCCATCGGCTGAGTGTATGTTCACAAACCACATTCATGTATTATAAATATATACTTATAACTAAATGCAACACAAACCAAACCAACAAAATGTAAGTAAAAAGAAAGAAAACTGTTATTTCTATGGTGTGAACTTTATAAAAAATTGGAAAGACTATAAAGGTAAGTCTTCATAAGGAAAACATACTACTGAATTACTTATAGACAATGCAACTGAAAAGACGGACTGAGGGAAAAAAAATCATACAGATCTAGGATTCCACACTCAGACAACTGCACAAGTGGCTTGAGTTTTCTTTTGAACCAAAACTAGAAATTTAGAGGATGCATTCCAGGTTCAGTGTAATTAAGAATGAACAATGAATTCCAATCAAGTACCCACACTCAAAGAAAATCCCTTGGCCATACATGAGAAAATTGGCAAATGAATATGTTTATATCTTTTAAGTTGAAATAAAATGTTTCAAATATGCAGGTATTATTTTTTTAACACTGGCCTTAATCAAAATTTTTAGTTAATGGCTTAACTCTCAATTCTGATAGCACTGGGAAAGAGAACTTCTAGTTAAAGTACAAACAATGGAGCTCTGCACAGATTATGGTAGGCACAAGAAGAGTCCCTTACGAAGAGCAGATGGTAGAGGAAAGTGTCCGGGGTAGGGGTGGAGATAAATCTTTAAGGAAAGTAGGAGTTGTTGCAAGGCAAACTGTCCATTAGTGAAGCACTGGGGCTAAACAGTGGTCCAAGTAGGGAGGATGGTGTGAACAAAGGTAAGTAAGGGGGTAGAGAACTGGAGGTTTGATGTCACCAACATGATGCAGAGAATGTAGACAGTCAAATCCCATGCAAGATAAACCTGTCTGCACTCACTAGTGGAGCATAAATAATGGGAAAGGCCTCAAAAGATACAAGATAGAATAGAAATTAACTTCCTGAAAGGAGACTTGTATGCCATCCCAGAGTTTGGACCATTTCCATAAGAAACTGAGAATCAGACCTTGGAGCTGAAAAGGTCAGAATAGTAAATTATTGTTGATTCTGTGGAGGATGGATCTGAAGGGCACAGCCTGAAGGCAGGGAGAAGAGTTAGAAACTGTTGCAGTGGTCTGGATGAGAGGTCATGAGGACCTGAACCCAAGCAATGAAAGGTAGCAAAAGGAATACACATCTTAAGTTATGAAGAGAAGCTAAGATCAACTTAGGAGACATGGAAGCCATCTGTTCAAAAGAGACAAATGAAGCCATGAGGATGAATATCGCTCAGCTAGAATGCATATGGCAGATTCTTAATATGGCTTCTGGTGGACCATGAAAGTTTACACTAAATTTTGAATGTACATGCCTATCTATATGTTGGGAAGGTAGATTCTGTCATTTTCAACAGATTGTTTGAGGGGTCTTAACCAAAAAGTTACAAACCTCTGAGCATAGTGAGAAGAGCAGTGGGCTGAAAAAGAAACATTCAGAGGAGCAGCATTTAAAGAACCTACAGAGGAAGAGGAAGGAACAAAAGAGCAAATGAATAAGGAGTCAGGCATTAGGAAATCCTAGCAACAGCAGTGCCGCTGAGCCCAAGGATGAAGGTTTTAAGGGAGTAGAAAATAACTAACAAAGAACCAACAATGTCAAAAGAGAAGCACATTAAGAAAAGGACTGAAAACATTCATGGAGCTTGAAAATGAAGCAGTCATTGACCCCTTAGCGAGCAATGTCAGCGACAAAGAAGAGAGAAGCCAGATTGTAGTGGATTGAGGAGAAAACCACAAGTGAGGAAATAAGTAAAAACTTTATAGACCACTTTTTTTTTAATTTGATTGAAAAACAGATAAAAATTGATAACAGAAGCAGCACACAGGCTTAAGGAGGATACTGTTCTTCCTAAGAAAGGGAGCTATCTGAATGTATGTTTAAGCTGAGAAAAAGGGGTTGGAGAGAGGGAAAAGTTGAAAATACCACAGAGAAAAGTGACTGATGAAGCAATATCCTAAAGGGGTTGGGAGGAGATGTGGCATCAGCACAGGAGGATGGATTTGAACACAATAAACACCTTGCCCCTTGCAATCTGCATAAAGGCATTCGAGGATGAATATAAAATTTAGACAGCTTTTTCAAATGGGACCATAAATTAAGGAAGACAAAATCTGATGATCACAAGATTTTCTGATGCAGGTATAGGCAAGATGGGCTGCAGATAGTGAGAGGATAGTGATGAAAGGAGAGTGTTTCAGAAAGCTAGTATAGACTAAGCATTGCTGGTGAGGGAGATGAGAGGAAGCATTGAAAAATGAACAGACACAAGTGAAGGCCCAGCCCAGCACAGGTTGGAGAGCCTGAATTTGTAGTGTTGTAGTGTAACACTCTGTGAGGTGTTAGCATTGCCTTCAGCGGTGCTTAGCTCCCCAAATGTGGGAACCAGCAAGAGAGGACCATATTGACCATAAGCTGGAAGTTTTGCTGGGTTGAGTCAGTGGAAGAATAAGGGTGGAAGAGGGAACAGGATACACTAGTGAGAACAGCTCTGAGGTCCAGGTTAAGTAGAAAATGAAAAAATGTTGAGATAACTGAAGGGGCTGGGAAAATATGACAGTTTCAAGGAATATTAGATATGAAAATGGTGAACAACTGCAATGAAAGGAGAGAAATGGAAGAATGGGAGGACTATGAGATTTAGGACTTGAAGAAGTCTCAGTTGTGGCCATGTAAGCAAGTACATCAAGTAGCTTGGAGATGAAAGTCACTGGAGCTCAGGAAATTTACAAAACTGTAAGGCTTTTAATGTTTTCTGTCTTCTACATGGACACTTGAAGTCACTTAGGATTATCCTAAGAGCTGATGGAAGTGGAGAGCTCTTTAAAGAATATGGAAATTCAACTATGAGATTTAGAATGACAAGGGACAAACGGTAGAAGACAAAAGAGTACAGAGGTGGTAAGTAATATGTGGTATATAATCCTGAGTCCCTCAAGAGTAATCACTAATACACTAATACCTGTGTTCCTGATAACCAGAATACAGCCTTGGATTCCTTTCCAAGATGGCACTAAAGGTAGCCACAGCCAGTGAATAGAGACAGTAAACGAGAAAAAAGCCTACCTTGCCATATCTGGTACAGTCAAATTTCACGAACCTCAAAGAAGCAGGAATATTTACATGAGGATGGAGAAGCAGTAACCTAAGATTGGCTCTGCAGAAGTGGGGCAACCAGCACTCTCCATACCCTGAGCCTTGTAGAGTGGAGAAAAACACAGCATCCACCCAAAGAGGTTGTTTGTTTGTTTGTTTGTTTTTAAGCCAAGTTTCCTTTAAAACTAGTTGGTGGAATCACTAACCTGTACAGGTGTTAACATCATATAAGATAGGAAGGGAAATTGATCCACACTGTATCCACTCGCCACACCCACCCTGGAGATTCACAATGCACACTGTAGTGGGGAAGCTATTAACTCTGGGTTTCCCAATTCTTTGACAACAAATTTCTTTCCCCTGGGAACACTTCTTAACACCTTATTCTACAGAATGTAGTAAAGGAAATAACAGGTTAAAGGTTTAAGTCAATTTGTTTACTATGGATGTGTGCTCCTGAGGTCACAATGGAAAATCCGAGAAGATAGGGGAACAGTGGGAGAACAGGTTTGGGAACAGAAAGCATCAAGTACAGGAATGCAAGCACAGAAGAGTCAATAAACTGCAGGGGCTTCTACAAAGACAATCAAATGTTTCAGGGATATAAGTGAGATTT